TATTAATGACAATGTTCATGTATAAATTTCATAATGGCCTTCTGCCTTTAAATTTTAACGATTACTTCGCACCTGTGTATCAATTACATTCATATAATACTAGACTTGCGTCGGGACATTGTTTATCATTACCTAAGCCCAGGACAAATTTTGGTTTATTTAACATTAGATATCGGGGTGTCAAGGTGTGGAATGCACTCAGCGATTTTGACAAAAGATTGTTATTCACTCAGCTCAAACGAAAACTTAAAGCTAATTTTGTTGATTCGTTCTAACCTTGTAAAAAAATTCAGAAAGTAGTTTTTTATATCATTTCTTTATTTTTTTCTTTTTGGTTCTTAATATCTTACTGCATTAATTCATTTTATTATTATTCGGTATCTTTGGCCTCCAGCTCTGATTAGCCGATTGGTTATTTTGGAGAGCCGGCTTCTCTCTGTTTATAATTATAAGTAACTAATGAATGATTGTAAAATTGTATTGAAGCAATGAAACTTCTTCTTCTTCTTCTTCTTCTTCTTCTACAACTAACTAAAGAAGTTTTAAAAAATTTCTATACTGAACAGCAAAATAGAATTAGAGACCGTTTGAAATGTCAAGGTTCCTTTTTCGCAAATGTTTCTAAATTTTCCCTATCACAACTTAACGCATCTGGTCTGCATGTATCGCAATCAAAGCTATCAAAGAACATTTTCAACTTTACAATTCGCTATATATATAATACTTTTCCTACCCGAAAGAACCTCAGCAGATGGTGAATTTCATCAAGTTCTGACTGCTCGTTCTGCTTATAAACCCTGAATCATTTCTACACGTTGTTGCCGGTTGTCAACATTACTTGGAACGATTCACTTGGAGACACGATTGCATACTAAATTTTTTTGAAAAAACCTTTCAAAGTTTAAACGAATTCAAATTACTTGTCGATCTTCCTGGATTTGAAAGCTCCTCGATTATTACGGGAGATGAATATCGTCCTGATTTACTTGTCTCCACTTCAGACACACACCTCTACGTTGTTGAACTTACCGTAGGCTTTGAATCAAACCTCATAAACAATGTTAACCGCAAGAAATCTAAATATAAGAACCTAATTAGAGAATTGGATCAAAACTTTACATCTGTGAAATTTATAGATCTTTCTGTCAGTTCGCTCGGGGTATTTGACAAAGAATGCCAAATGCTAAATGATTTAGGATTGGATAATCAACACCAACAATGTTGCAACAGAAAAATTATATTTATTGCCATCCGCGATCAACAGCAACTTATTACATATTTTGCTGTAGAAATAAAGAATGGACAAATCCCGTACTAATGGACATTTAAAACTATTTCTACAAATAATTAATGATTTTGTATATAAAATTATAATCATGCATAAGTGATTTGAATAGTCAATTGTAGGTTACCTCAAGAAGTGAGATTTACAATTGTATATATCTATAAATGTTCTATTAATAAAGTTTTCATTATTATCATTATCATTATCATTATTATTATCATTATCATTATTATTATAAGATTTGCAGTTGTAAGTTTAGAAAATTAAATAAAGTTTCCATTATTATTATTATTATTATTATTATTATTATTATTAATTGAACGTCCACCAAACCATTTTTCTTAATCTAATCAGCATTTTTCTACGTGTTCTTTTTACTTCATGCAAGATTCGTTGTGCAACGTCCAATATACACCAGGACGCACGTCTACAATGCGATGTAACTAACTTTAAAGATGATGCTGATTTTGCATATTTCTTGCTATATAATTATATGATTCGCTGATTATACATACATTTATATTCCTTAAAGCTAGATTTAACAAACTAAATAGGAATAAAAGAAAGAAAAATTGAAAACCAAGTTGTTGTCATCAATCGTCTGGATCTAAATAAATAAAAGGATAAATATCTATATCAACACAGCTAAATTATATATGAAGATGCCGTAATGTCCGTCTGCAGTTACCAAGTTTTTTTACATGTTTGTATCCAAATATAATAATAATCATGACTTTATTACCTGTATACGAAATTAAATGGTGCTAACTATTTATATATTTGTATTCCAGAGTGAAATCGGTAACCAAGCATGCATGTACCACCAGGCATTGAATAAACATGTAGCCCAGCTATGTATACCTAGCACCGCTCGTATCACAAGCTGGAAGCTCTAATGTAAACATGTGCAGAACAGATTGTACTGCATCTTCAAATAATTTCTATAATACATCAATAAGATCGGAATAAAAACGTCTGTTTCAATATAATATTCCAATCCTTGTAAATTAATGATTTCGAAGCCTTGGATAGAAATTAAATCCTGGCATATTTGCGGCAGACTTTGACAATACTTTGGTAACGTAATTATGTGTGGAAACTTTGGTCGTTTCCTCTGCATTGAACAATTAAAGAAAAAAGCTTGAAGTTCCTTTCTGATATGATATGGCTTAAATTAAATCGTTTGAGCAGCATTAAACTATCAAATCAGGATGATGTTAAATCTGTAATATGGTGATTCCCAAACAAGTTTCGTTTGAAAAGCATCCTAAGTCCTTTCCATGCAGATAAAACTCGTTTCATTTGTATATCGTTTACGGCTATTTCAACCCAATTTTATTTATCTAACTCATAATTCCTGGTAATTTGTTGTGAAGCAAAAAGAACATTAATTAGTAGTTTCTGACAGATTGAAAATTAGATTAATTTTCCTCAACGCTTGACTTAGTCGCACTCAACTCGTTGACCCGGCCACATGCAATGTCGATATAAAGTTGAATCATCAGCGTATTGAAGACTCTTTTCTTCCGTATAAATGTTCTTATATGAATATCGTCGAATCAAAGTTTTCGTAATTCTTCAATATGATGAGTTTGGAGTTGTGGGAGGATGAAAAACACACGTAGCTAATACCCAACTTAGTCTTCTTATTTCTTGGACACAAACATATTTCGAAAGTAACTGTTATTCTTTAATTTTATAAGTCATCACTCATTTTGGAGGTAAATGCAGTACATTTGCGTATCAAACATCATGAAATATCCAAAAAACACAAACTTTAAAAAAAAGTTACTTTGTCGTTTTGAAAGTCATTTTAAATACATAAGACAATAAACGTTACCGGAGTTCGTGTCGTTTTTACTGGACAAAACGTGAGGTTAGTCACTTTGTTATTTTGAAATTCCTTTACATAGTGTCACTTTCACTGGACAGAGTGTGATGTAGTACATGTAATCTGGAAACTTTCCTGAGCATTGATATCTTTTTAAGTTACACAAATACTTACAGTTACTGGATCAATAGCCTAACCGTGCTTAGAAGTTCACCAGCGACATGAAGCAGGTCCATTATGATATGCCCATGAAAGTCTTATAGCTATTCTCGGCTATCGGTCTATTGTTATTTTCCAGAACGTTTTCGTGAATTTGGCAGTGGTCGTCGTTCAAGCTTGTGAGCAAAACTTTCACGACAAATTGGGCAGCGTGTGCTGTGAAAAAGAAAAAAGTATTTACCTGTCGTGTTTGTAAAAACATGGCTGTAACAGTTAGGGAGCCATGGAGCGACGTTACTTCCATAGTACATGGGGCTAACTCTAAATTCAAAACTTCAAAATTTAGTATAGGTAATCATGCGATGTTGCTCGTACAATTAGGGATTAATAGTACGAGTGATGTTTGGAAATTTTTCCAAACTTGGACGAGCCGCCGGGGCGAGTTCAATTTGGCAAATTTCCAAACATTACGAGTATTATTAATCCCTAATTGTACGAGTAACATCGCATGATTACTTGTTTATTATTAGCATGGCAAAATTGGATACGTACTTCTGAATGTCAACATTATATTCTCTCGCAAAAAGCCCAGTCCTGCCAGACTTTCAACCAAAATTTGGTGCTTTTGTTTGTATTTTCATTTAATTCTTTTGTTCAAGCAAAATTTGGTGCTTTTGTTTGTATTTTCATCTAGTTTCTCTAGGGAAATTCCATTTCACATTTGTGTTTAAAATACCTTTCCGCTTTTTTTTTTTTTTGGGAAAATCATTAATTGTACTGCAGTACAATTAATGATGGTAATAGAACGAATAGGAGTGCTATTAATGCCATAATCATACGAGTCAGGCATTAAAATACGGAATTTTTACAAGGACACACTTTGCCTTAAAAGGCGTATTTTTGGTATAAATGCGCAGCTTTACGAGAACGAGTGACGAAGCCACAAGTTTGGCGTCGAAGACGCGAGCTTTTAAGCCGGTTTTCCACTAGGCGGAATTTTGCGCGCGGAGCGGAATTTTTCTTTGTCTTATGATTCCTCGGGTGGAACTAATTAGAAAAGACCAGGAAAAGAGAAAGAAAAATTCCGCTCCGCGCGCAAAACTCCGCTAGTGCAAAACTCCGCTAGTGGAAAACCGGCTTTAAGGGGGTCTCTGAAATGGCATTTCCAGTGTTCTGAGAACAGAATTTGGAAAATATTTGGCAATTTTGCGTGGATTACATTAATATATTTTCTGTTTAATATATTTTCAAGTACACACTTTTCAATTTACAAGGGCACATTCGCCTTTTACAAGGACACAAAGTGTGTACAAGGACACGCTATTTTAATGCCTGGTGTAAGGCAAGATCAGAGATTTGCTGTCACCCATATGGCCATATTGCTGTCATATAATGGGTTTAATTTTCTTTAAAATTAAACGAATACTGATTCACTAAGATCGGAACTTTCAAAGGTTTTCAAAGTATGAACAAGAAGAGTACAAAACCCTTTAAATTTTTTTTGCATTGCTTTTAGATTCAGAGGACTGGGCACGAAAGCATAATACCTGTTTCCATGACAACGCAAG